GGGAAAACTGGCCTCCACACGTGAAAGAGTAAATTGGGTCCTTAAACCATACACAAAAAAATCAACCCAAAACAAATCAAAGACCCAAATTTAACAACTAAAACTATAAAACTCTCAGAAAAACACCAGGGGAGAAGGTTTATGACATTGGATTTGGCACAGATTTCTTGGATATGACATCAAAGGCACAGACAACAACAAAAAAAGAACAGACAAATGAAACCTTAGTAAATTTTAAACTTTTGTATATCAAAGGACACTATCAACAGACTGAAAACACAACCTATAGAATGGGAGAAAATGTTTGGAAACCAGAACTGTAAAAGAATAGTATTCAAAACATACAAGAGAACTCCTAAAACAGCAACAAAAATAATGTGATTTAAGAACAGGCGAAGAACCTGCATAGCCATTTTTCCAGAGAAGACACACAACTGGCCAATGAGCACATGGAAGGGTGCTTCACACCACTATTCATTAAGGAAATGCACATCAAAGCCAGAACAAGACACCACCTCACACTCACTAGGATGGCCACCACCAAAATAAAATTAAAATTAAAATTAAATTAAAAAATTAAAAAGTCAGAATAGCAAGAGTTGGTGATGATGTGGAGAAACCAGAACTCCTGTGCACTGTTGATGACAATGTAAAATGGTACAACTACTGTGGAAAACAATGTGGTGGCTCCTAAAATAGCTGCAAATTGAACCATAGGATCCAGCAATTCCACTTCTGGGTATACACCCAAAAGAGTTGAAAGCAGGGTCTCTAAGAGATATCTGCACGCTCATGTTCATAACAGCATTATTCACAGTAGCTACAATGTGGAAGCAATCTAAGTGTCCATCAACAGGTGACTGGATAAGAAACACGGATCATCTATCCACACAACAGAAAATTACTCAGCCTCAAAGAGAAAGGACACTTTGGCACATGGTACAACATGGATGATCCTTGAGAACATTACGTTAAGTGAAATAAGCCAGTCACAAAAGTACAAATATTTCATGATTCTCCTTCTATGAAGTCCCTACTCTAGTCAAAATCACAGAGGCAGAAAGCAGAATGGTGGGTGCCAGGGCCAACAGGGGGAGCATAGGGAGCGAGCGTTTAACGGGTACAGAGTTTGGGTTTGGGAAGATAAAGTTCTGGAGGTGGATGGTGGTGACGGTTGCACAGCAATACAAATGTTCTTAAAGCTACTGAACTGTACGCTTAAAAACAGTTAACACAGTCAATTTTATTGTATGTGTATTTGATCCAATACGACAAATCAGGGAAAAGAAAAGCATCCTCCTTAACCTGATGAACTGTATCTCCCAAGACCCTAAAACAAACCTCATGCTTCATGAAAATCTGAACGCTTTCCCTCTGAGACTGACAAGGCCAGGACAGCCACTCTCACCACACCCAGGTAAAACCGCACTGGAGGTCCCAGTGAGCGAACTAAGGCAAGAAAAAATAAACGAAATAAAAAGTAAATGGGGGGGGAGACGAAAACAAACTGAAAGCTGAATTTAAAATTTATCTGAAAATAAAAAATACCTAAAATAGTCAAGACAATTCTTACCAGGAAAAAACTGGAGGGCTTACTATGTTCTTTCAAAGAGTATTAAGAAGTGACAGTAACTATGATCTTACTGTACTGGAGAAAGGACAGACACATGATTCAATAAAGGAGCCCTTGAGAAACAGGCCCATGAATGTATGGCCAACAGGCTTTCATCAGAGGTGCCAAGGAAATTCAAAGGGGAAACAGACACTCATATTGTGTGGCAGGAAAGCAACCCTCAACTGTGACCACACTGCACACAAAAATTAACTCAAAATTAACAGTAAAGTTAAAGCTAGAAAGTTTCTAGAAGCTTGGGTTAGGCAGACACAAAAAGCACAAACCATAAAGAAAATGAATTGATAGCTCAGACTTAGAAAAATTGAAAGCTTTTACCCTTCAAAAGACACTAAGAAAATGAAAAGGAAGCCACATACTGGGAGAAAATATTCACCATACATCTGACGACAGACTCTGTCATGAATACACACAGAACTCTGCCAACTCAGGAAGATGACAGTCCAATTAAAACATGGGCAGAAGACTTTGAAAAGACACTTCACAAAAGAAGATATATGGCCATCGAGTTAAGTACATGAGGAGATGTTCAACATCATTAGTCACCAGGGAAACAGGAACGAAGACCACAGGGAAATACCGCACAGGCCCACCAGGATGACTAAAGTGAAGGCGGCCAGCGAACGCGCTTGGGATGCGGGGCCAGCAGGATTCTCACACACGTGTGGCCAGGGGACAGAACAGGGCAGCCACTTTAGTTCCTCAGCTTTTCCTAAAGTTAAAACATACTCACCATATCACCCAGAGGCCCCACTCCTAGGTATTATCCCAAGAGACAGGAAAACATACATACAAAGACTTGAATACAAATGTTCACAGAAGTTTTATCTGTAAGAGCCAAAAACTGGATTAAAAATTATGGTATATCCAGTCGGGCATGGTGGCTCATGCCTGTCATCCCAGCACTTTGGGAGGCTGACATGGGTGGATCACGAGGTCAGGAGATCGAGACCATCCTGGCTAACACGGTGAAACCCCGTCTCTACTAAAACTACAAAAAAAATTAGCCAAGCGTGGTAGCAGGTGCCTGTAGTCCCAGCTACTTGGGAGGCTAAGGCAGGAGAATGGCATGAACCTGGGAGGTGAAGCTGGCAGTGAGCTGAGATCGCGCCACTGCACTCCAGCCTGGGCAACAACAGAGCAAGACTCTGTCTCAAAAAAAGAAAAAAAAAAAATTATGGTATATCCATTCAATATAACAAGGACAACCTACTGATACAAGCAACAAACGTGAATGAATGCTTTTCAGAAAACATTCTGCAAGTGAAACAGCCAGACACAAACGACTGCATGACGTGTGATTCCATTCCCATATAATTCCAGACAAAACAAAACCACGGTGACAGCCAGACTGGAGGCAAGTACATTGGGAGCCTGTTACCTCCACCTGCCGCGAGGAAGTCACAGCAGGAAGCATGAGTACAGACCCAAGAGCAAACAGCCCTCCTGGAACAGTAGGATTTCTCAAAGAACAAGAACGTGGCCCTTTGGAAATTTCTTGTTTATTTCACATAATGATCATTTAGAGTTTGTTTTTACTTTTTTAATAATACAAATGTATCTAAAACTAGGGTGGAGGCTCACACCTGTAATCCCAGCATTTTGGGAGGCTGAGGCAGGTGGATCACTTGAGCTCAGGAGTTCGAGACCATCGTGGCCAACATGGTGAAACCCTGTCTCTACTAAAAATACAAAAATTAGCTGGGCATGGTGGCAAGTGTCTGTAGTCCCACCAGCTCCAGAGGCTCAGGTGGGAGAATGGCTTGAGCCCAGGAGGCAGAGACTGCAGTGAGCCATGATTGCACCACTGCACCCCAGCCTGGGCCACAAAGCAAGACTCTATCTCAAAAAAATAAAAAATTAAGCCGGGCACGGTGTCTCACTCCTGTAATCCCAGCACTTTGGGAGGCCGAGGCAGGCAGATCATGAAGTCAGGAGTTCAAGACCAGCCTGGTCAACATGGTGAAACCCCATCTCTACTAAAAATACAAAAATTAGCCAGGCAAAGTGGCAGGCACCTGTAATCTCAGCTACTCGGGAGGCTGAGGCAGAAGAATTGCTTGAACCCAGGAGACAGAGGTTACAGTGAGCCAAGATTGCGCCACTGTACTCCAGCCTACATGACAGAGCGAGCCTCCGCCTCAATAAAAAAAAAAAAAATACATAAAATAAAAACTTAAAATTAAAAATTAAAATTAAATCAGGGTGGAGGTAGCATGTTAAATATAAATCCATGGGGGTTTTTGTTTTTTGTTTTTTGAGATGGAGTTTCACCCTGGCTGCCCAGGCTGGAGTGCAATGGCATGATCTCGGCTCACTGTAATCTCCACCTTCTGGGTTCCAGCGATTCTCCTGCCTCAGCCTCCTGAGTCACGAGGATCACAGGCACGTGCCAACATGCCAAGATAATTTTTGTTATTTTTAGTAGAGACGGGGTTTCACCACGTTGGCCAGGCTGGTCTCGAACTCCTGACCTCAGGGGATCCACCCGCCTTGGCCTCCTGAAGTGCTGGGATTACAGGCATGAGCCACCACGCCCAGCCAAATCCACATTTTAAGCTGACAGGAGAGACACGTCAGCAGCTATGATCATGCATGTCCCTCTTCCATCTTCGGAAAGACAAGAGCTTTAAGTATTGAAAAACAATTCAGGAAAACCATCAGCCACCTAAGCCGGTAGAGCAGCGAAGATGAGAATGAAAACAGGACTGTGCTCAGGCTTCCTGAGAACTGATTCTCCACAGAATAAAGTTTTTAAAAAATTCTAAGGAAGGGCGGAGAGAAGGGTGGTGTTTCTCCCCACCTCCCTCGTGCTCCTAAACTAACGTCATGCCCCAAGGAAATGAAAGAAAAGGATGTCATTAATAAATTTATACCAAGTTTCTTTTCAATGGTGCTGAAAAGTATATGCAAATCCATCTGTAATTAGGTTTAAAATTCCATTTCATGGGATAATCAGACTTCAAAAAACTCAATTTTAGTTTTAATCAGATTTTAACAAGGATATTAAGTCCATTTCGTTTAGAAAAGGAAAAAACTGTGAATTTAACACAAAATGTATTCAAGCTTAGCCCTGGGAGATAATTAAATAAAATTAATTTGGCAAGGGTTGTCAGTAAATGGAAGTGCTCCAAACAGTGGTTCATGTTTTTGATGGAGACAAAAGCAACACCTCACAGTACAAACAGACCCGCAGCTCAGCACTTGTAGAGGAGGGTGGAGCCTCTTCCCAGGGGCAGGGAGGCTGGAAACCCTAACCCAAACCTCAGTCAGAAGAGGGGCTCACACGCCCCACAGGGAGCCCGACTGAGGCTGACAGGTGCAGGCTCACAAGCCATCAGCCCAAGCCACGCCCCAGCGTACTCACCTGCCCAAGCAACCGGGGTGAGACGAGGGCCACCCAGCTCCAACAGCCACCATATCCTGGAGAGAAATCGTCCCCGCTCAGAGGACGGTCCTTGTCCTAGAACAGCGAGGCCCTCCCACTCTTGGTTCTCAAAGCGCTCCCCCACCCCACCACTCTCAAAGTGCTGTGCTCAGTTTCAGCGCAGGAACCATGTGTCCTGCTCTCCGCTGCATCTCCCAGCCAGTATACGGCACGGTACGTCATAAACCCTCAACAAATATTTGTTAAATGGAACAGACATGATCACAATACGCGCTCCTGGGAACTCTCAGCTACCAGAAAAAAGGTGAGACAGAAATGAGCACTTCTCAACCCTGGGCGCAAATTTATAAGGGTTTTATCCTTCACAATTCTTAACCAAGGGGTAACACAGCCTCGGATAACTCTAGATTCCAGGCAGAGCAGGTGCTGAGCTGCGATCCAGGAAACGCCAATTTCATCCTAGGTTCTCTTCTACAACCACCCTCAAGCAAGGTCCCACCCTGTCGCCCAACTGGCCCAAATCTGAAAAGGAAGAAATCACCATGATGCCGTGTGGGTAGCAAAAGGCTCTGCACGGAAAAGAAAAGCCGCAGAGAACAGGCAGCAAGGCTCTGCATGGATTCGTTTTGGGTTTTTTGGTTTTTTTTTTCTTTTTGAGACAGGTTCTTGCTCTATCACCCAGGATGGAGTGCAGTGGCATGATCTCGGCTCACTGCAGCCTTGGCCTTCTGGGCTCAAGTGATCCTCCTGATTTGGTCTCTCAAGTTGTTGGGAGCGTGGGTGCATGCCACCATGCCTGACTAATTTTTTGTAATTTTTTGTAGAGATGAGATCTCACTATGTTGCCCAGGCTGGTCCTGAACTCCTGAGGTCAAGAATCCGCCTACCTCAGCCTCCCAAAGTGCTGGATTACAGGTGTGAGCCACTATGCTCAGCCTCTGCATGGTTAAACCAAAATTAAATGGCAGCCCTGTAACCTCTTGTAGGAGTTAGCAGGTATGGCCAAACCTACTCCCACCCCAGCTGTCTTGAAAATAAAGTTTTACTGGAACACAGCCATATCCACTCATTGACACACTGTCGACAGCAGCTTTTACGTTAAAATCAACGACAGTCCCGGTTCATCCCGGGTCATCGCAGTCTCAGCATGAAAGGCCCATGTCCCACGCGAAACTCCTCAGTCCCAGGCAAACCGTGAGGGCGAGTCACCCTATTCTGGGCTACAAAGGCAGAGCCAAGTAATTGTAACAGAGGCCTTATGGACCCCAAAGCTACCAAGTAAATATTTACTATTAATACCTGGCCCTTTAGGGAAAAAGCTTACCAGACTCTGCCCTAAATCCATCCCAACCTATCACAGGTGCCCACTGTTTAGTTACAAAAACTCAAAGAAAACCTAGAGTACTAAATAATGAAACAAGAGAAAGTACATTTTCTATTATTAAAAGTCTGGGCTGGGTGCAGTGGCTCACACCGATAATTCCAGCACTTTGGGAGGCCGAGGAAGGCAGATCACCTGAGATTAGGAGCTCAAGACCATCCTGGCCAACATGCTGAAACACCATCTCTACTAAAAAAAAATATAATAATACAAAAATTAGCCAGGTGTGGTGGTGGGCGCCTGTAGTCCTAGCTACTCGGGAGGCTGAGGCAGGAGAATCACTTGAACCTGGGAGGCAGAGGTTGCAGCAAGCTGAGGTTGCAGCAAGCAGAGATCGCACCACTGCACTCCAGCCTGGGCCACACAGCAAGACTCTGTCTCAAAAAAAAGAAAAAAAAAGTGTTTCAATCTAAAGCTCAAACTTAGAAAACTTACAGATAACTTAGCAGTGACCCCTACTGGGTTATCTACAACACTCCAGCTAAGCTCTAGTAAACAATAAAAACACAGAAGCTAAAAGAAATGCTTGTAATGCTACCAATGACACTCTTTTCAACTCAGTCTACGAAAAACATGTACTTTTCTCATCCGAGTCAATAAAAAGTGAACTGTGATTTAAAGGAACCTAGTTGATACCTGCATTTTGTAACTGCAATCCTAATAAAAGGCAAAATACTCCTGAGACCTAACTGCAGTAAACGCTAGCAATACAGAAAAAGTAAAAACTAGAAAGAGCAAATGGGAATACCAAGAATTGTGTGTCAAAATGTCTTCCACACAGACTCGTAAATAATTCCTATCAGCTCAAAAGCAGACAAACAATAGTGCTCCGAAAAATCACACGGGGTGGAAGCCTGCCCCTCCCTTGCTGTGGGAGGACTGTTTGGTTCCATGAAACTGAAGAGTAGTTTGCACCTTATAAAAAATTAATTGCTAATCTTCTAACTCAGCCGCCTCCGCGAACGAGATAGTATTGTGTTGCAGCCTCAGAAGTTAAATGCTTCCTCTCCCAAGTAATTACTGCTCTTACTCTACCTTGCAGAGAGCCTCCTCCCACTGAAAACCAAATCCCAGAACCTACCAGGAGGTGCTTGGCTCCCAGCAAAGGCAGGCAGGTCAGCCGTCCTGCAGGCTGGTAAGCCCTTCTTGCCAGAGTTCGGCTGGGCGCCATCAGGTCTGAAAGAGAAGCTGTCAGCTGATGGGCTTCATGCCCGCACATGTGCTGAGTTCTGCTCAGGCTAAATGGATGGCAGCTCCCAACAGAATCCTTTCAGTGCCAGCATCGGGCTGATCAGCTCACAAAAATGCAGGATCCAGCTGCATGGCACCATGTGGCCAGCCAGATGGATGGAGGTTATTGAGGGCACAGCCCACCATGCTCCAGGATCAGCCAAGCATTCCAGCAACAGGGCCACAAATTCACTGGATGCCCTTGGGCCAGTCAGCTCCTCCCAGAACCCAGCTTAGTCCACAGGATTGTGAGGAAGAACAAATGAGACACTGATTATCAACGGGCTTTGTCAACTACACAGCAGCTCTCTAGAGCCAACCACCACCGTCAGCAGTGCCATCCTGCCAGCAAAGTGAAGACCCTCTTGAGAACAGGGTCTGTCTTTAAACAAATAAACTCTAGAGGCTCTTGTAAGCCACCTGTTTCCAAACCAGGAAAAACGTCTGGCCTTCATTCCCACCAGCGTCATTCATATCCAACAAGGCTGTCTCCAACTAAGATACTCCTGCAAACTGCTCCTGGGCATCTTCCAACTGACGCACCTGAGGAGGCCCCCCTGCTGTTTTCATTGTTTAAAGCTGTCTGTGTGTGCACTACGTGGGCAGGCTGTGCTGTGTTCGTCACGGCATCGCCAGAGCCAGCCTAAAGCCTGGCAAACAGCAGGTCTCCAAATAAATGTTCA